AAAAGTATAAAATGTTTATATGAACAGAATCCAGTGTAAAATTTGATGGCATCATCATCTGTAGAGAATCTCTCAATGCCAAACTTGAAAATGTTAAGTTCAGCTGCAGCTTTTTCCTTGTGTCTTTGAAGTTCTTGCTGCACAAGAACAAGTGCAGCATTTGCTTCTCTATTGGTCCTTTCTGATTCTCTTCTTAGCTCTTCAAGCTCACCTTGTGCAACATGAAGTTGTGCCTTAGTCTGTTAAAGTTCTTCTTTTGGCATTGCTTGGGGATCACTTTCTGGTACACATGGAGCATCATCATTGTTGTCACTCTCATCTGTCCGGCTGAGTGGCACTATTAAGGATCAAAATTATAGCTCTAAAAATTGCATGGTCAGATCAGCTGTATCAAAAGATAACAAGATCGGGAAAAAAAAACAAAAACAGTGACAGCATTTCGAAATAGGGCTATAAAGTTACAACACTGCTTTTGTCAAGTTTTCACTGTTCAACACACCTTTCGATGTGTCTGATTATCTCCCGTCTGGGTTTTGAGGCAGCTGCCCAATTAAAAACAGTGGGGATAGCTCCTTCTTTGAGCAGGCGCCAGCCTGCACGGTCAGGAGAATGGTGGTCCTCTTCCTTGAAGTGCTTACTGCAAACTCTTGTCTTGGACGTTATCTATATATAGTTATATATAACAAAGTAAGTATTGAAACGTGCAGATGAAAGCTAAGCCAGAAATGCTGTTATTTTTTGAAAAAAAAACAAAAAAACAGTAACCTTGATATATGAGCCAATATTCCTCCGGATTTTAGCAATTCATTGCTTTCGAGTTTGCTTTTCCTTAGGCATACGGTGGAACCTCCATGAGGTGTCATAGCGACTGTCACAAGTGCATTGCGGCACACAGCAATGATAATCCCCTTCCTTTGCTTTCTTCTTGCAGACTGGGGAACTCGGGCTACTATCAACTACGAGTCGAAATATGAAAACAAACAAACAAACACTAGTCAGAATTGTGTGACGTGAAATCAATGGGAGCGAACACAATCTTGCTACACATTGCAGTACATATCGTAACTATAATTTACCAGAGTTGAAGTGAAAATTACTGCGGGAACATTTCTTTCTTTGTGACGTTACTGGTGACCGTTTTACACCGTACACGAGCCGAATCTTACCACGCATAAGGTCTATTATACGGCTGCTTTAGTTCATACGCAAATATTCAAATCTTTTCCCGCGCAAAAAAGCAAAACAAAGCCCAAACAACGGATAACTGCTACTTACCTTCATTGCTCGCCATGAGGTCAAGAGGTCGTCACGGTGCACCCAGTTTCGTGTTTTTCTCTAAAAGTCACAAATAGACCCTGGTTACCGTTTCACCAAGGTAAAAAAGTCTCAAAGTCGAGCAGATCGCCAATATTAAGAAAGAGAACCTACAAAGTCGCTTCGCCACGCTACAATTTTCAAGATGGCGGCCGAAACGCTTGCGTCCCAGCATGGCGTTGCTAGGTGGTTTCCAAGCACGTGACCAGATCCTACAAAGGGCCTTTTGTACTGTACTTTGGAATTTAAATGTCAAAAGTCAGAAAAGACCAGAAGGCAATCATGTCATTCCAGCTTTCGTTCTTTCGGTGTCGATGGCGCCAGGACAATAATGTGTGATTTAATTTCTTATGCGTTTCCATTTCTTAACGCGCGTGTTTTTCGCACATTCAGTTTCTGTCAGAGAACAAGTTGTTTTGCATGCCTGCGTTGTTACCGGAAATGGAGACATTTCGTCTTATTGTCCTTCTTTTTGTGATGGCACAGACAGTGATTATATCGTGGAACAATTATCACGCGGTTCAGTTTATGTAGCTAAGGCGAAGCGCGAAACATGGCACACGAAAAAATAGGGGAGGGGCGTGGCACCACCACCATTCACTGAATTCACGCCTCTGGGTTATAGGTTGATGGCGAAATGAGCGGGAAAAAATTACTCCACAATTATTGCTTTCTTAAACAGTTAAATCCTTGCTTCATTTCACTTGCCCCAGGGAATATAATTTTCAGCAATCTAACATCAGTTAAAATCTAAGACATTTCATTGAATACTCTCATTAATGAGTTACTTTTGTGAACATAGCTCTTGATCTAGATCTTACATTGAGGGGCTCCAATAGTATCACCAGTTTTGTATATTATCATGTGTCCGTGGCTGTATGCGTATTTGGATGCATGTGTGTGTCTGTGGAGGGGGAGGAGGACGCCGGTATAAGAGGGATTGTGCAGTATGTTACATTTTCTATAGACGTATCATTTTTTAGGTGTAAAATTATTGCGTGAGCTACAAGAAGCACAGCTGAAGATGCTGCAAACGTTACCCGATATCATGGACTGGTACCCGAGAGGAGATGAGCAAATTTGTTGATGAAACCACGAGATTAAGTTTGTGAATCTTTTATGCTGATCGTCCAGTGTATATTTATGACACTACATTGATAAGATTGATACATTTTGTTAACGAATCTCTAGACGTAATGATGCTTTAACATCCCCGCAATGGGCCTTTGCTGCAAAACTTTGCACTTAACTGTGTGAAACGTTTACGGTGAACGGCCTTTAACATCCCAACAATGCCGGAGTCTTTGCTGCGAAACTTTGCACTTAACTGTGTGAAACTTTTAAGGTGAACGGCCTATAACATCTCAACAATGACGGGGTCTTTGCTGCGAAACTGTGCACTTAACTGTGTGAAACTTTTACGGTGAACGGCCTATAACATCCCAACAATGCCGGGGTCTTTGCTGCGAAACTTTGCACTTAACTGTGTGAAACTTTTACGGCGAACGGCCTATAACATCCTAACAAGGCGGGGGTCTTTGCTGCGAAACTTTGCACTTAACTGTGTGAAACTTTTACGGTGAACGGCCTTTAACATCCCCACACATGGGTCTTTGTGAAATTTTTACGTTAAACTACCTCTAGGATTTTGATTGTCTTTGGATGTTTAACTTTCGAGTTAAATTAATTTGTGAAATTTGTGTTGACAGTGCTTTGCAGTCTTAGGTAAGGCAAGAATCAGCGACATGGACTGGGGTGGATCACTCAGTCAAACACTGGAACAGTTACAGCAAACTGAGGAACAAGGTAAACCGCTTAGTAAAATCTGCCAAGACGAAATATTGCTGTGATATGATTGAGGAAGCCAAAGGGGATCACCGAAAAATGTGGAAAGCTGTAAACAAAGTTTGCAATCGTAATTCAACCTCAGAAAATGTTCAGTGTACCATCTCCGATGGCATCCAGCACACCACGCCCAAATCCATCGCTTCTGCTTTGAATAGCTTCTTTGCGTCTATAGGCAGGAGCTTGGCTGACAAAATAAGGACAATCTGGCCGAACCGCATCCTAGTCTTAGAGCAACAGCTATCTCAGCTCCAGTTAACTGAGTTAGAGGAATCGTTTGTGCTTCAACAGCTTACCACTTTGAAGGCAAACAAAGCAATCGGTTTGGACAAAATCAGTGCGAGACTGCTGAAGAGCTCTGCTAATACGATCACACCATCTGTCACTAAGCTGTTGAATCTATCGATTCGTATCGGTAAATTTCCTAAATTGTGGAAGTGCTCCAAAATTACAGCTTTGTTTAAATCGGGCGACCGGACAAATGCGTTGAACTATCGACCTATCTCTGTTTTACCTACACTCAGTAAAATTCTTGAGAAAGCTGTGCATTCACAGCTGTATCAGTACTTGGTTACGAACAATCTACTCACAAGGAAACAGTTTAGATTCAGGAAGGGGTTTTCTACTGTATCTGCTTTGACTTCATTTGCCGATGAAGTCTTATTGAATATGGAACAAGGTAAACTATGTGGGGCCGTGTTTTTGGATTTAACCAAGGCCTTCGACACTGTGGACCACGAGATTCTRTTACGTAAGCTTTCAGAGATTGGTTTATGTGAGAATTCGCTTCAGTGGTTTCGCTCTTACATCACTGACAGGAAACAGCGCACATGTTGTGGGAATGAGTTGTCTGATGAGTTACCAGTCACCCACGGGGTTCCTCAGGGAAGTATCTTGGGTCCCCTGCTATTTGTCATCTACATCAACGATTTGCCAAGCGTTCTAGATGCCTGTCAAGCGTCACTCTATGCAGACGATACGGTGATCTACTACTATGGGTCTTCCTCCCAGGAGCTGACTGACAAGCTCAATCAAGACCTCCTGGCGGTGGCGAAATGGCTGAACGAACATAAATTAACACTGAATCTGGACAAAACCAAATGTATGCTCATAGGCAGTAACAGGAAACTAGAGAGGCAAAGTTGCTCTAACTGTATCAATTTTTGATCATTGTGTGAACGATGTTACTTACATGGCGGCAAAATAACCACATATTGCTAATTTATCTCTAATAATAGTCAGCAGACTATAGGCTGTTGAATAGTGTCCTAAACAATGCGTGTGTTTTTAATCCAGGTCAATACGCTGGCCAGAACATTTTTTCGCCAATAATTTTGCAGGCATTTCAAATGTTACTCTCTACTGCTGGCTGGCTACTTGGCTAATTGCCATTTTGCTAGCTCGGTATTCAAAATTTTCATTATGTCTGGCTGGGAGTTTTATGAAATTAAGTCGATCTTGCTAGCAGTGAAGAGCGGATATTTTATCCCGAGGAAAGTTAATTATTAATGATAATTGACGTGGGAGCACAGAATCAGTGCTTGGGAAGTCACATCTTTAATTTCCAGTTACAGTGCCGTTGTGTACTCTTGATAAGATATTTTCGCGCCAAACGGAAGCCGTTTTATCTCCGTTTACACGGCACATAAAGCCGTATCGTTTTCAAAACGTTCCACTTTCGACAGCGTTTTAAGGATGAGGTTTCATGAGGTTTCCATCGTGGCCGTAGGCGTAACCGCATCGAAAAAGATGGGGCCTCAGAGTTTCTGTTTCGTTTCCTCAGAAACGAAACGGTATTGCTTTCAGTATAGGGGTAAACTATTTACATAGTGGAGGTAATATCCAGTCAGAGCAAAGTTCGTAATTGTTAATTTGAATGTAAATACGGCGGGAAAATGTCCACCAAAATGCAGTGCATGGACACAAAACGTGGCACTCCCAACTTTTCAATTGCTACCTTATACGAAATTTGGGAATTACGATTGAAACTCTCGTTTCTCGTTGTTATATTACAAAGAAATTTACGAACTGGACTTCTAATCGGATAGTGACAGTGAAAAGGAAATATATTATTTAGGTAGAGACACCACCACATCACGCGATTTATCCACTAATGCGAAGTTTTACGCTGATGGAAGCAGTTAGTTTTGTTAAGTTGACCGAAGAAATAGTTCCGTTTTCCGTTTCAGAGTGATTTATTGACGTGAGTATGAATGTTATCAGGGTAACGCTTATAATTCACAAAGTAAACATGTTCAACAAAAATAACTTGTTGAAACTAAATTTAATTTCGTGACACGGAAAAAGAAAAGGAACTTTCAAAAATGTCATACAGGTAGAAATCATTGGCAACTTACATGGTTCTAAGTCAGACTTAAACAATGTCTTCTAGAGAAACGAAGACATCGGTTTCCGTGCTTGATTTAAATTTAATTAAGTTCACAACTATGGCCAATCAGAACACTTGTCCGGAATACCAATCTCGCCCTTTTTGTGTCTTTTTACGGGAAGAGAACACGCACTTGGAGCGCTTGGATACTACAGATGGGATATATTATGGAATACATCATAATCATATTGTACTTTAGTTAACGTTGGTATATTGCAAAATAGGTACAAAATGGCTTTCTTTCAAGGTTTTCTTCACATCTTAGGCGTCGACATTTTCCAGATGTAGTTGTCAAATTTTCCGCCGCACGTCGAGTAGCTTTACTTCTTAGAGCGCGTGTTATAAGCTTTTAAAAATAACAAAATTTGCATTTTGACGTACCGCAGCATTTCAGGAGCTGGTTTTCATGAAAACACCGATAACCTTTGTATTTTAGCTTCATAACATTCAACCGAAAGTGGAGGAATAATTACACAACTGTCATCACACATAAGACGTCCTTTTTGAAAAGAAAAATATACTGCGTCACTCACAACAAAACGTAGAGTGCCGCTCCATTCGAATCAAGCGCTGCCTGGCACAGAACTGAAAAAATTATGCGCCAAATTCTTTTGTCTCCTAGCTTTATTTCGCCTCACACACCATACTTTGCCTTGAATTTACTTGTGTTAAAAAATAGGGTCCCGCCTCCCAAGGATTTTAAATGTTGCGTAAACAAAAAAACCGTTTTTAA